CAGTTAAAAAATATGTTTTAGTAAGCTAAAATAATCCTGAATTTCTTTTAAGCTGAAACAAAACCAAAATTATTAGTAATGAGCAGCTCATAAAAATATTGCAATGACTCTACCACCTGGTCTGTGCGCGGCACTCATTAATGTTTTTTAAAAATAGGCTTTTACAGCATCGTAACTTAAAAATACACAAAAAGAATGACTCTTTGATTTTCTTTAATAACAATAGAATATGCAAGTATTCAAATTAGCTTTTTATCATATGCACTTTTGAAATATTTTGTCGGTAAAGAAGATTTTTACAAGTGGTCTCAAACTTTTGGCCGGCAGTGTATACTATAGGTATATACCTAATTTTATTTTCAAATTAAAATTGGTACAAAGTTAATATTTTTACACAATAATAAATATTATCTATTATTATGATCACCGCTGTGTCAACATGATACTTTTTTACTTATTACTTCTTTATTTAATTTTGCAATATTATTTTAAAAATATGTTTGACGCATAAATTCTTTTTTGTACACAGAAACTCTAAGACAGTTATTTGCACATATTTTCAAACCTGTCTGTACTAGTAACACCAGTTTTTTTTTATTTTACAGACAATAAATCCTAATATATTTATTATTCCTACTACGGTCTCGAAATAGAAGTGATATTACACAACATTATGTCAATTATGTCATTAAGATAATACTAGATAACATATCCCAGGGATGGCCAACTTGTTTAGACCCATCGATCGATTTTTCCCTGACGACCCCTAGTACGATCTACCAATTACATTATTACTTAAAATCTGAAATGAAACAGCATAATTCGTACACAATTATGTAGTACTTTTATTTTATTATGAGGGAAAATATAAAACTACAAATTATTCTTGGTAATATTATTGCAGTTGGTAATATCATTGTGCAATGTGTTCTATGTAGGTATGTACGTATTTAATTTTTTTTAATTGCCAAGATCGCCTGGATTTATAGTCGCGATCGACCGGTCGATCGCGATCGACTGGTTGGCCACCCATGACATATCCTATTCAATTCTGTTTCTTAATTTTCGTAGTTATTTGAGGACTAGCTTCTACCAACGGCTTCGCCCGCGTTTCCAGGGGTAAAAAGTAGCCTATATGTTACTCCAGACCATAACCTACCTTTGTTCTTAATTTCATCCCGGTCCCTTCAGCCGTTTTGATGTGACTGTGTAACAAACATACACACAAACAAACAAACTCACTTATTTTCACATTTACAATATCGGTTGTAGCTAATTTCAACCATCGGCCCTACAGTTACAGCCTTTATTCCACTGCAAATACAAATACAAATATTATTTATTTCGTCAATGTTACAATAGATGGTAGATAATATTATGGTAGTGCGCCACATTGTGTCTGTACAGACATACAAAATTTTTATAGTTTGTTCTTAATGTAGTGTGTTTTCAGACAATAATCTTCTCTATCTACATTATGGAACGCGGGCAACCTAACATTCGACAAACTTATATTTGCGTTGAACTGCACAATTATATAAATTTGTTTTATTTTATTTATTTAGTTTTAGGATAAAAAGTACACAATGCCCAGGATTTTCTCATTTTTGGGTTCGGTCTCTATCTAGTAACACTACTAGTACTACTTATTTATATTTTTAATACTTTCAATGCACAAAATTTACACTTCTACAGTTTTATAATACATATGTATAGAATAGATGTAGATAGAAAATAGATTAGAGGACTAAACGAAGTAATAGCGACAGTTTTTTTTTAAGGGGGGAAAATCATCTAATGACTGCTCCCGCCTGGGTGAGGCGGGAGGGAGTGTCAGACTCTTACTGACTAAAAACCACCCCGTTCCTTCTCCTTCACGTCGAGCCGGAGCCCCGGCAACCCGTTAGGTTCTCCGTGACAATATAGACAGTTGAAGTAGATATTCTAAAAAGTTATCAATTTATACTAAGAAATATAATAGTAATGACTGTATAAGTTAGCTTTAGATAACTAATAGACAACAAGTCAATTAGTTATTTCCTTTAAGGATTATTTTAAGTGGTATCGCTGTCATTAAAGGTACAATCGTGTAGATAATTCAAAATAAATTATATTATAATAATATTTAGACTACCTCGTTGGCCGAATGGTCGCAACTGCGACTGCTGGGCAAGGGGTCTCGGGTTTGATTCCCGGGTCGGGCAAACTATTATTAGGTTTTCTAAAAACAAAAAATCTCAGTGGTAACACGGAGTCTGGAATTGTACACGGTATATGGCTGGTATATAGTGCCGTATAATATGCACCTCTGCCTATCCCTTCGGGTGTAAAAAACGTGATATTATATTATGTCTAATAATATTTATTTCCAATTTTTTTAAACCTTATTTCAAGTTATTAAATTTTTTAATTATTACTTAATTAGTAAATAGTCATCAGGTCAAATTGTACTTCTATTTCTATTTTACCATTCTAAAAATATATAAGCGTCGTATTTTTATAAAGATAATTTATTAAAATATGTAATTTTATTGTGCTAAGTTATGACACGTGCCACAAACACATAACTTAGGCAACTAAGTAAGCAAGCTGACTATAATTCTATCTTATGTATAATCGTGCTAACAGCTGCTCAATGCCTGTTTAGCAACGTAGAAAATACTAGAAAGTTCTTTAAAAAATACCGATTTTGTCCCAAAAAAAAAATGACGTCAATTTAAAAGTGGGCGCGACTTAGTTCCCTGAGAACATTTACATAACATAACATAAGATCCTTTATCCCCGAAGGGGTAGGCAGAGGTGCACATTATGCCACTGCACAATGTAACACCCACTTTTCACTATTTATGTGATGATTCCCATGCAATAGGGGGTGAGCCTATTGCCATATACCGGACACAATTCCAGACTCCGTGCTCCTACTGAGAATTTTTTAAAACCCAATAATACTTTGCCCGTCTCGGGACCCCTTGCCCGACAGTCGCACTTGCGACCACTCGGCCAATGTGCCAGAGCATGAGGCATGAGAACATGTAATCGGGATAAAAAGTATCCTATCACCTACGTCAGCCCATACAATGCCCGTATACCGAATTTTATAAATACGTTAAGTAGGTACAGCGTGATTGACGGGCAAACATCCAAAGAAAAAACTTACAAATTTATAATATTAGTGTGATTTGTGTGTGAGTGTGATTTTAAATACTACGAATGCATTTCTAGTATTTTTTTCAAATTCAAAATCCTACTGACCTTTAATCAGTACCTACTGATCAGTGACGTCTTAGTGACTGGTTTTTTTATTCAAAACAGTTTAGGATTTCTCAGTAAACAGATCAGTTGGAGACTGGTACCGTCACTCAAGCATAACTTCGTACGAACGTCAAACACTATTGGATTTATAAATAGACATTTTTATTTTTAAATAGTCTCGTTCATCGAGCAGTTACAAGTCATTTGTTATTTAATACTAAGGTGAATTTTAATGTCGGATTGTGTATGTGCAGTTTTAATTTGGAATTCTTAAAATTGATGTTGTATGGTAATACGTTAGCTTTCTCTTAAAATTTAGGTATATTGTATACCTACTCTAAGAAAAGTAAAGGAATTAATTTTATATCATTGTAGAATTTACAGAAACACTTAAAAAAAATTTCTCCTGTATCGTTGGTGCGTTTACAAACATACAAGTTCGCATACACATGACACCCAGACCCGAAACAATAATTTGTGGATCACACAAAGTGTTGTTCCGTGCGAGAATTGAACCCGCGGCACGTTGCACGGCACCGCACCAACCGAGCAGTCAGTCACTTTATAACCCACCACTTCTCAAGATGTCTTCATCACAGTAAATAAATGTATATACCTTCAATTTTAAGAGGCCCAGTACGGCATTTCGCAAAAATCTCAACATAAAATATAAGGAAAAAGATGTACATATTTTACGTTACAACATTTAGAAAGGATAAATTTAATAATATATTGAATAATTTCACAATATTTGTCATTCAAACCTCTTTGTAAATATACCGTCGTGTATCCTATAGGATAATTTTATGAACAACAAATTTTACGAGAACTTACGCAGGACAAAACCTCTATAAAGTCCAATACAAGAGAGTATCGACATTAAACTGTACCCTTGCTCTATTTATAGACATCTGTGGCCATTACAGAACTAATTATGCCGAAGTTAGGGCCGAAGTTTACCAAAATTACTATCAGAATAGAGAAAGCCTAGCATCGTTCTTGTCTATTTAAGTAATAAAACAAGAAACTTGTATAGCCTTTAAATTCCTTAGACATATTGTTTTGATATTTTAATAGGTCTAGTTTTTGAAGTGCAATGCGTTTTGAAAGGTAGTAATATATTTTTATATATATAACAGTGTTCTAACTTTGAGATATTCAAAATTATCTTGATGTTTAATTACGTTAATAATGCCATCTAGTTATAAGTACCTAGTAACACAAAATATACATTTCAGTGAAATTTAAATAAAAGTATCTTTTAACATTTACCTGTAGGTATCATATTTGTCATATTATACTTTCTCTCTTTAACTAAATTAATTTGTTTTATAGTTGCAACGAAATGTCAACTAACTAATAAGTACCCAAAAATAAATAATCAGGCCATACAAAATTAGACTTTATTATAAGGGAAGTAGTATACCTAATACTTACCAATTCATTATGTACTGTTTCTATAAGACAACAATAAAAACTGTTTTTTATGCGAGCCATCCGAATAGAGTTTTTCATCGCCTCTAGACGTAACAAGGAAATGAAATACACAAAGTAATCGCAAACTGGCCTCAGTGCAAAACATTCTCGCCGCGACTGTACACGATATCACAACAATATTAACGCGCCATCCGAATTGTCCATTACATCATTTTACAATCGATCCTCACACTCGTCGCGAGTGTACTCTAGTCTCTACTACTATATATATTTTCCTCTCCTAACGGTAATAGTCCATTCATTCATTTCAGATGGATGTATTTCGAACAAAGGGAAGACAACAAACAAGTCGAGGAGATGGAGAACGTGAATAAAGACGTGTAGTGGCCGCAGTGACCGACGGACTTAACGCATTTATTTTATTAGTGAAAGTGTTATTGGACATTATTACAGTGTTGAATAAGTGTGATTGTTTAATAAAATCCTGTCGAGTTTTATAGTGGCTTTTATTCATTTTTTAAGTGAAAACAATCGGATGTTTATAATATAACAGCAGTGACAGGCCGCGGAGGATCGCCGACTTGTTTGAGTTCAGCAACGTGTTAAGTTTATTTTCGATTTCTCGGTGTGTTTGTGGACGCATTAAAGACTGATATGGCAACATAAGAGTGTTTACTTACAGCCGAACAATAGGTCGCTAGCGACGTCCCAACGTCGGCGGCTTACCAGTAATTCAATATTATACCGTATTTATCTTGGTGCTGTGAGGATGTCCAATATAACAACAATGTGACCCAACTTTGGAGCTTTACTGGGATCTCGGACGAGGTATATGTGCTCCTTGTTCCATATTTCAAACTCCAGTTAGTATTGATTTTAGTTTTAAAATTTTAAAAAGTTTGATTAAAAATCTATAAAAATGAACAACACAGATAAATCTGGCGATAAAACGCCTCGCGATGAGACGACAGAGGAATTACCTCTTAAAACGGAAGCAAAGAATGCTGTCCAAAACATGACCTTTATTGAGAAGATAAAATTCATCAAATCGAATGTAACGGTAGAACCGGTCCTAGCTCTGTTTGTGATGCCGAGCGTGCTGGCTATGTTAGCGACGCAAAATTTGAATTTGGAGAAAGCATGCAGGGTCAATCTAGAGTTTGGAGACGAGGCATGCACTGCTCTTAGACTTAGAAAACGAGCGAATTACACATATGAAGAAGAAGAAGTACAGAAACTAATAGCTTCAGTTCTAGCGTGGAGGAGCGTGGTACACACAGCAGTACCGACATTGTTGATGCTCTTCATAGGCGCGTGGAGTGACAAAACAGGAAAGCGTAAGATCTGCATGCTAATGCCGATCTTTGGGGAGTTCATGACGTGTATGTTGAATATGATAAACACGTATTTCTTTTACGAGATCCCAGTGGAGTGGACTGTACTTATGGAGGTAATATTCCCAGCTCTGACTGGAGGCTGGTACACAATGTTCCTAGGTACTTTTAGTTACTTAGGCGATATTACTTCTAAGGACACAAGGACTTTCCGATTGGGAATTTTGAACTTGTGTATGACAGTGGGATTTCCTATCGGGATGGGACTGAGTGGGATCTTGCTTCGGTATCTCGGATATTACGGAGTGTTCTCAATATCAGCAATGCTGCAATTTATCAATTTCTGTTACGTATTGTTTGTAATAGACGACCATACTTGGCTGGAGAACAAAGACAAGGTTTGTATTATTTCTATTTACTTTACTAATCTAATACTTGATATTATACAGCTATAGTTATTGTTGTTTTAATATAGATAATAGTCTCGTAGTATTGTGATAAAAGAATCTATTTTTTCTATTATTATTAAATAATTCCAGGAATCCTATTACAAGTACTATCATTTTATCATACACTATATAAGAATGTCTGGCATCTCTGCTTGAGAGAATTGAACTGAGTTTTTTCTGTACAACTTTTATTCATTTTTATTATACTAAGCAATAGCTACATAAATATATTATATTTTAGGTCAAAAGGACGGGGGTCAGCGGCTTCTTTTTAGAATTTTTCGACTTCCAAAGCCTAAAGCATACTATAGAAATAGCATTCAAGAAAGGACCGAATAACAGGAGACTTCGAATATGCCTGATTCTGACTGTCGTCTGCCTAACATTTGGACCTATGTGGGGTATGTACACAACCTTATTTATGTATTCTATTGACGAGTATAGTATGTGGTTTAGACATTTAGCAGCAAATATGGAATTTTACACGTCTATTATGGTTGGGTAACTTAAATTTAAAAGGTTGAGGTCAGTAGCGTTGGAGAGGTTTTTTAAAGTTCACTCACACTAGAATTTTCTCTTGTGTCGCAGTTATATATACAAACATACCTCTACAACTCACATACACCATGACTCAAACTTGGAAGAATAATTTGTTAAATTCTTTCAATTTTAAATTACTTTTTTCTATAAAAAATTTGGTGTAAGACCATTAAGGTGTATTCCTTCATAGGCTGGATTATCGCTTACAACCAGACGCCAATTTCAATCTCAAAGTCAGGTTAAAAGTATTTCTTTGCAATTCAAATAGCTATGACTGCGAATTCGTCCGCGTGAAATAGTGACTTCAGCCTATATATTGACCCAATCTGTTAGTAAAATTCATGCAAAATTTAAAGCAAACCCATGCCGTACTTAAATTTAGCCTGGACATACATACAGAAAAACAGACAAAAGTTCTAAACACTACATTTTTGGTTTTGATAACAATTATAGATTACACCCTAAGTATTTTTTTAGAAAATATTCAATTTAGACTTTTTTATAATTCGAAATTCATTTGTTTATTTAAACTGTCAAACACCAAGCGGTCACCGGTGACCGCGACCTATTGTTCTTTAATTGTGTCTATAAAACCGGTACTCGACGAGTTAAATAGGGTGATTTCGTTATTAATCATGATTACTGATTATCATCAGCAAATAAACTATATGTAGGTACTTTATTAATTGCAAAAAGGTAATAAAACCGGTCGTATTACCCAGCTGTAACATAATAGTTCAGATTATCCTAATTTTAATATTAAAATTCAGTGATTATTCCCTGTAACTAATAATATGTTGACCCACTAAAAACAGATTATTATATTATGAGGTATTTCATTTGTAGAAGCTTGCACATGATTATTTACTAGAATTAAAAGGTTTAATTTACCTACACAAACATCATACTATTTTAAATTATATTTAAAATTCAATGAAAATAAATAAATTCTGATACAAAAAGAATTTTTGATAATACTTAATACAATAGATACCTGAAACATTTAACTACAGAAATTTATATATCTTAAGTTGCTAATTAAATAGTTTCGTAAATAAAAATAGAAACAATTATTTTGCGCTTACCACTTAGTAACAGTTTCATATTCAACCATGCATAAATTTCAAAGTGCATTTATGTAAATTCCAAATAGTTTAGATTATTTTTCCTTTAGTTAGATTAACCTGAATTTCTCGAAATACTAGTTATCATATACGTTAGACACGTCCAACGTGAATTATGTTGATTAATTTGATATCTAATTCAGTGCTAGAAGTCAAAGTCAAAGTCATAATTTATTTCCATTAAACCATAATTTGTTACTTTTGAAACGTCAACAAATACAAAATAAATAATAGTCTATCAGTCAGTCCGTCAGTGAAACTAGGTGAAGCTAGGTAATACTTACTAGAAGCTAGTGATAAAGAATAGTATCTACGATCTCCAATCCGCCTACCAAGCATAGTCATTATGGCGAACTATCAGTATCTGTCTAACCGTCGCGTTGTCGGAATAGAGGCGGAAAGTTAAAGTTTAAATTGCAAAATACTTTACCTACTAGAAAAATCAACAACCTAATTCATTTACAGTTTACTTTATATCAACTATAAAAAGTTTATGTTAGGAAATATAACAATGGAGTGAAACAGGGTATTTACTTCGACTTTGTTTATTAATTTGAATCGTGCAATTCGACATAAAAACAACATAATCGTCTATTGACACAAGCTAGTGCAAAAACTTAACTGAAATAACTTGTAGGTAAATGGTTGTTTATAAAATTAACACATTATTGTAAGGACTTCCCCGTGCTCGTAGGTATTCAAAAAAATATACAAGTTCCTGTATTTGCCTAAAATAAAGAAAAACTAAACGAAAGTCGTGGTGGCCCGGAGGTTTAAGACGCCGACTTCTCATGCATGAGGGTGCGGGTTCGAAACCTACCAACGGCAAGTACCAATGTGACTTTTTCCGAGTTATATGTACTTTCTAAGATTATTTAGACACCACTGACAAACGGTGAAGGAAAAACATCGTGAGGAAACCTGGACTTATAATTTCTAATTATAAGTTTGAAATCGCCAACCCGCATTGAGCAAGCGTGGTGATAAATGCTCTAACCTTCTCCGTGTGAGAAGAGGCTTTGCTCAGCAGTGGGCATTTATAAGCTGTTGATGATGAAACGAATGTCACGCACGATTTCAAACTTAAATGACATTTAAATATTATTCTCAATTATTTAACCAAATCAATAAATGTGGATGGGGTTGACGTATCCATATGGACAAAACCCTCCTGAAAACAATAACGGAGAAAAAAGCTTATAAATATTACTACATCTACAATTACAATCAGATATAATATTTATTTAACGATGTTATCCCGACAAAAATAACATGTACAGTTCAAAAACAATACCCAGTCATTTTCTTGTCTGAATCTGATATTCTATGCTCATATTATGAATTATAATTAAAAAACTAATTAATATTCAACTTGCAAAATATTTTCGATATCGATACCCCAACTAGAATATCACTGTAATCAATCATCAAAGCCAATCAAGATATGATTTGAAAACGATATTCTTTATTTAGTCACCCTCAATTACAAGATCCTGTTCGAAACAAATTCCAAATCGCTCAAACAACATACAACGCATATACACAACTAATAGCTAAAACAAATAAAAACACAACACGATAAATTTCGTACTGTTTGTCTGTTGAGTACAATATTTACAACGCTCTCTGTTTTCCGAACAAACATACGAGTGTCAATATATCGTCGATAGATAAATAGTATAATATCTATGAGTTACTTGCTAATGACAATTATTGGTTGGTATTATTCCTTTATTCAGAGAATTTAGTGTTGGTTAATAATCGGTTATGAATTTTGGTATAGTTCCGTGTATCGATATAATCGGTATGTTCACTCTATATGAAAAGCATGATTGTTAAATAGTTTCATAACACAAAAGTATGTAAAAAATACACAAAGTGCCTATTTAATCTGACATATAAGTTTGACTGTCAATCAAGGAGTTCCAAAATCGATTCCTGGATCAGAGAAAGCCTTGTTTAAATTTTTAACTCAGTAATAGGATGGTTGTGTATCGAATTGTCGAAGCCGCGGAGGACTTAACGGATTGCGGGGACTCCGTTTCGAAGTGCAGGAGTAGGACCAGGGTGGTTTTTAGTCAGAGTCTGGTACTCCCTCTTGCCTTACACAAGGCGGTAGAAGTCATTGGATGAGTTTCCCCTCAAAAAAAAGTGTCTGGAATTGTATCCAGACTGCATGGCTACATTCTCACTTTCAATTGCAAAGAACTTATTGCAGGTGAAATGTGGGTATGACATTGTATCTATATTTCAAATTACAATTTGAACTTTAACCTTTGCGTCAGCAGTCACATTAAACAAACATTTAGAAAACAACATTCATACATCTATTAATCAAGCTAAGTTATCGTCATTTCAAATTCAAAACCAAAATTATGAATGCAAGCAATGTATCTTTGTCAAAACCTTAATTTGTTAATTGTTTTCATAATTAACGATGTGTTTGTTTGTCACTGCAGATTAGCTGTGTCTGTTGATGTTATTTATTAATCATATAGTATTTAATATAATGATCATTTGTCGTGTAATCTGTGTTTAAATACATTAGTAATGATTTGAGGTGAATGACCTGTGATTGTTTTTGTAGTGTGGTTGTTAAGTGATTGTGTGATCATAAATTCTTTTATTAAGTTATTTGATATGTGTTTTTGTTTGGAAACCATCAAGGATTACAGAATAGAGTGTTACTCTCCATTTGCTATGCAATACGCATAATTGTGATTCTGAATATGCTCTATCCATTCATTAAGTGAGCCCCATAAAAAGGAACTATCATATAAAGTGGTGGCTAAGCAAAATAATAATACCTACTTATTCAATAAATAAAATATCCAGTAATATTGTAAAAGTACCAAATTCCGACTCAATAAGGCAAATGGGTAATAGTTAAGCGGGTCCAGAGAGTAGAACAAATTCAAATCCAAATAGATTTCAACAAGTATGAATTTAAAAATACCTAGTCATAGGCTCAACATTAATACTTAGTCTAAATACTTAGTCAAGTCAAGTCAAGTCAAAATCAATTATTTCAATTAGACCAGAAAGGCACATTTGAACGTCAAAAAAAAAATTAAAAGTGAAGCTATTTGCTCATGTAGATTCCTACGGAGAAGAACGAGCAAGAAACTCCATAGGTTACTCTTTTTCAATCAGATTCACTGTATTGTGAATCTGATTGTGCTGTACGCGCGAACGCTGAACAAGAGGTCTCAGAATCTGAGAAAAACGATGTTATATACAATTACTTTTCCAAAATAGTAAATATTTTAGTTATCCAAATATAATAGGTACCGCAATGTGTCCATGTAATGGACCTCGGTACGTCCGTGAACAACTGCGTATACCAATCGGTTATGTAGAACCATTATTGTTTCATTTTTGTTTCGTTTTGCACCATATGTTGTCGACATATGGTTCTAAGTTCTTTATTTTGGAAAAAGTTAGCGAGCTGTCTCTTTTGTACAATTGTTGTATGCTCTAAAGCGTGAAGCCTGTTTTGTTATTGTATATAGGCTATTGGCTTACCTTCTATTTTATGGAATTCATAATAATAGCTGGTAGACAGGGCTTTTAAGGGGCATACATTACTTACGTCACACAAATTTCATAATTCACATACATCACAGGTCACAATTGTTAGACTCAATAGTGACCCCACATTTTAGACCCCTCCCTAGTGTGACCCCACATTTTACAAATTTATATTATTAGTTATTGAATGAAAACAGCGGTTCAAA